GTGAATAAAGTTTTTTTGGTTTTCGATCGCGTTTTGTATGCATAGGTGGAGCTAAATAGAACAGAAAAGTTTTAAAAATCTACTGGATAAAATTTTACGTACTATTGTTTTCTTGAGCGATAGCTGACGGATCAAGTACTATTCGTTCGGAAAGAAAAGAATTTTTTTCAATAAAATCAACGAACACATTTGAAAATAGCCATGTTTTGTGTTTGACATCAGCAGCAGTAAGTGTTCGTGGAAATGTATCGGTTTTATTTTTCTTAAACGATTGTTCATAATCACTGTAATGTACATTGTATTTGGCCAATAAACGAGCAAAATCAATTTGATCGTGTGCTTCGTTTTTTGGAAAGGCTTTTAAATAGCCCGATAAAAGTTCAATATTACCGTTTACTTTTTTTGATCCAAACCAATCGCCTTTGATTAATAATTTGTCAGTAACTAAGTTGGAAATTATATTGTCACGTAATTTTGATATGTTTTTAATATGTTTAAGTTTGCTGCAAATGTCCGATCGTGACATAACAATAGCTTCATTTTAAATTATTTTTTGATAAGCTTCTTTTAGATCTTCATCAATAATTTGATCGGCACCTAGAAGAATAATAAACAATTGATTAAATACAGAGTACTGAGAACTGAAAATGAATATGATTTAAAAGATATGACGATATTTACTTTTTTATATTGTTATTTATTTTAAAATAGCTTATTCTTCAACCAATTACAACTTACCAGCAGTATTATTTGATTGTGTTTGAACAGATGTTGATGAAAGTGATTCACTCAAATTCATATCGACAAATGGCGATGCTATTTCTTCATTTTCATTGCTTCTTGATCGTTTTGGATTAATATCATCATCGTGTTCATCCAGAATTCGTTTTAATAAATGCTTCTTATTTTGAAGCACGCCAGAAAGTAGTTCCAATGTTTGTTGAGAACTCATATTTTCTAACAATGTAAATGTATCGACTGATGTTGATTCAATAGGTAAAGTAACATCATTGTTATTGTTATTGTTATTAAATAATTCCAAATTGAAGAATACTGATCGATCTAAACATGACGAAACAACTTTTCATTTGAGCCATTATAGAACTACCATCTTACTTTGATTTTGTTGATGAGTATTTCTATTTAATTCATTTCGATAAGGAGACGTTGGATTGTGAACAACATTTTGTTCTTGTAGAAGATTTAAGTTAGAATCCAGTAAACTCACCTGATTGATCAGTATCTATTGGATCGTAATCGAGTACTTTTGTTAATTTATTCATCATATCATCAACTGCTGAAGAAAATTCGTTTCGAACGTGATTATTAGATTCAGTTGTTTGTTGAATGTAGTTGTTGAATTGTGGTGCAGTTGTAATATTTGTATTCAACATTTCAGATAAAACAGAAGAGCTTTCAGAAAATGATGAGATCGTATTTGGTGTTGAATTATTAATTGATCGGTGTGATTCGAAAATTAAAGTTGATAATGTATCATTGTTATTACGATTATCAATATCATTACTGCCATTATTATTATCATTATTATTAGTTGGAGTATAATCATCACCATCATACTGTTGACTATTTTCAATATTAAAATTATCTATATGTCGAAAAATGATTCAATGAGCCATGTTCACACTTTGCTTATAAGCCACCCGACAGCAAAATTGTACTCTAAGAGAGAGACAGTATATTGCTAAGGGCGGCTTCTCTCTTTTCATCCTCTTTCTCTCTCTCTGTCTCTCCTAGAGAGGCTGATTGTCAATGGCAACTCAACTCGGTTCATCTCTTTTATCTATTTTTCCTTTGATGTTTTCTTCTTCTTTTCCATACAAATGTATAATCTATTTTTTTGAATCGAAATCATCTATTCATCCTCATACCGATATATTTAACAAGTCAGGTGAAATTCACTGCTGCATACTAACTATAATCAGTATTCAATCTTATTTTGAAAGGAACTTTATTTCATAAAGAAATCTATATTAATATACAAAAACACTTGAGACAACG